AAATTAGGTATGCCTTTGAAATAGAAAATTTGTATGGCCAGAAAAGTTGGAAACAACGCTAGTCCAAATATGTAAAGAAGTCTTGCTCCAACTAGAGAGAAATTCTATCAACAAATTGGAATTTCCAAAGTAGAATTATAAACAAATTGGAATTTCCAAAATCACATGGTGAAAGTTAATGTGTATTGGCTAAATATTCCTAATCCCATCCTTCAGTGAAAGTTTTATCCTCTTCATCAAATAGTATCTTTATAAAAAGTTATTTTAATATAATTTTTGTGGTGCATTTCTTTACAGGCAAAAATAATAATTTATTCTTAATGGGTCAAAGAAAAAAAAAAGACAGGGTAAAGGAACTTGAATACTCAGCATGTAATAAAGGGGGAAAATAAAACACCATATTCAGAATGCACAAGAACTCTGGGACAGGATTAAAAGAGCACACCTGAGTGTCATCGGGATAGAAAAGAACGTGGAAATACAGGCTGACGGCATTAAGAACATTTTCAATGAGATAAGTAAAAGAAAAATGTTCCTTTATCAGAAATGAGGGAGCATCCACATAAAGGGGGCATATAGGGCCCCAAATAGACAAGGTCAAAATAGAACGTAAGACACATGATAATCAAAATACCTAACATAGAAAAGAAGGAAAAAGCATTAAAAGCTGCAAGAGAAAACCATCAGGTCTCATTTAGGAGCAAGCCAGTAAGGCTCACTTCGGGCTTCTGAACTCAGATTCTACAGAAGAGGCCTGGAGTGAGATGTTCAAAGAAAGCTCTTAAGGAAAAATTTTGTCAATCAAGATTTCTAAATCTAGCAAAGCTCTTTCAAAATCGATGCCGAAAGAAAAGCTTTACATGACAGGGATAAGCTAAAAGAATTTATGATCACCAAAGAAGCACTACAAAGAATACTCAAAGATAAACTGCACAAAGATGTACCCCAAAATAACCCCCAAAGCTCCTAAATAGATGATGACCATGAGAAGAACAACCAACTAAATGAAAATTAAGACAGAATTAAATATAGTAAACAAGCCAAAATATCAGAAATCTACAAACACATATCCATAATAACCCTGAATGCATATGGTCTCAACTCCCCAGTTAAAAGACACAGATTAATGGATTGGGTCAAAAAACAAGATCTAAATAAAAGTTGTTTGCAACAACCCCTATCACCAGCAGACAGATCATACAAATATAAAGTTAATAAGGATTTTTCTGACTTTAATACTATAAATCAAATGTACTTAATAGACATCTACAGAATATTTCACCCCCAAACAGCTGAATTTACCTTCTTCTCAGAAACTCATGGAATCTTTTCCATTATTGACCATATTCTACGTCACGATATAACTCACAAATATTATATATTTCTAGGTCATGATATAAGTCACAAATGTATATATATGTACATATATATATATGAGCATCTTATCAGATCATAATGGAATAAAACTAGGAAACAACAGCAAAAAAAAGGAACTACATAAGCACATGATGATTGAACACCACTATTTAAATAAAATATGATCATAGACTATATGAGAAGAAATCCAGACATTTTTAGAAAACAAATAAGAAAAGAGATACAAGACATCAAAATCTCTTGGACAGTAGGAAAGCAGTTCTAAGAGAAAAAATGAGTAACTACATTAAAAAAATAGAGATATCCCAAATAAACTTATGTTCCACTTCAAGGCCTTAGAAAAGGAAGAGCCAATTAATTCCAAAATGATCAGAAGACAGGAAATAATATCAGAGTCCAAATTAATGAATAGAGAATAAAAATATACAGGATCAATGCTACAGGGACACTGCTACATCGATGTTCATAGCAGCACAGTTCACAATAGCAAGACTGTGGAACCAACCTAGATGCCCTTCAATAGACGAATGGATAAAAAAAAAATGTGGCATTTATACACAATGGAGTATTACTCTGCATTAAAAAATGACAAAATCATAGAATTTACAGGGAAATGGATGGCATTAGAGCAGATTATGCTAAGTGAAGCTAGCCAATCCCTAAAAAACAAATGCCCAATGTCTTCTTTGATATAAGGAGAGTAACTAAGATCAGAGTAGGGACGAAGAGCATGAGAAGAAGATTAACATTTAACAGGGATGAGAGGTGGGAGGGAAAGGGAGAGAGAAGGGAAATTGCATGGTAATGGAAGGAGACCCTCAGGGTTATACAGTGGAGGGGGCAGAGAGAGTGGAGGGGAGAGGTGGGGAGGGGGGAGGGTGGAGGATGGGAAAGGCAGCGGAGCACAACAGACACTAGTATGGCAATATGTAAATCAATGGATGTGTAACTGATGTGATTCTGCAATCTGTGTATGGGGTGAAGGTGGGAGTTCATAACCCACTTGAATCAAAGTGTGGAATATGATATGTCAAGAAATTTGTAATGTTTTGAACAACCCACAATAAAAAATTAAAAATATTAAAAAAAAAGAGTTCTATGGAAAGCTTAATAAGATTGATGAACCCTTAGCAAAATCAACCAAAAGAAAGAGAAGACCCACATAAACATAATTAGAGATTTAAAGGGAGATATCATCACAGACACTTCTAAAACACACACAATCATTAGAAATTATTTTGAAATTTTATACTCCAATAAACTGGAAAATCTATAAGATACCAACGAATTTCTGGACAAATATGACCTGCCCAAGTTGAACCAGAAAGACTTAGAAAACCTAAACAGACAAATATCAAGTAGTGAAATTGCAATAGCACAAAACCTTCCAACAGAGGAAAGCCCAGGACCCGGTGAATTCTCAGCCATGTTCTACCAGACCTTGAAAGAAGAACGAATACCAGTCATTCTCAATTTATTTCATTCCCCAAAATATTCTATGAACACAGTATAATCCTCATACCAAAACCAGACACAGACACATCAAGGAAAGAAAACTACAAACCAATATCACTAATGAACATAGATACAAAAATCCTTGATATTAGCAAGCCACATTAGAAATCACATCACAATAGACCAGGATCAAGTGTATTATCCCAGGCATGCAAGGTTGATTCAACATATGCAAATCAATAAAATGTAATTTGCCACTCAAGCAAAATTAAGAACAAGAATCACATAATCATCTCAATAGACGTAGAAAAGGCCTCGGATAAAGTTCAACACCCTTTTGTGTTAAAAACATGAATGGAGAAACTAGGAAAAGAAAGAACTTACCTCAACATTACAGAGGCTGTAGATGACAAACCCAAAGCCGGTACTGAATGGAGAAAAACTGAAAGCATTTTCTGTAAAAGCAGGAACAAGACAAGGATGTTCAACCTCACAACTTCTATTCAATATAGTTCTTAAAATCCTAACCAGAGCAATCAGGCAAGAGAAGGAAAATAAAGATTTACAAATAGGAAATGAAGAAGTTAAACTTTCTGTTTGCTGATGAGTCTATACTTAGAAGGCCCCAAACACTGCACCAGAAGACTAGAGCTGATAAATTAATTCAACGAAGTAGCATGACACAAGAGCAACATTCATAAATCCATAGCTTTTCTGTATTTCCACAGTGACTCTTCTGAGAATGAAATCAAGAAAACCATCCCATTCACAATATCCTAAAAAGATTCCTGGGAATTAATCTAACCAAGGAGGTGAAAGACAGCTATAATAAAAATTATAGAACAATGAAGATAGAAATATAAAAAGACCTTAGAAAATGGAAGACCTTCCATGATCTTGGATAGGCAGAATTAATATTGTTAAACGACCCTAACTACCAAAAGCAATATACATATTCATTGCCTTACCCATCAAAATACCAATGACATTCTTAACAGAACTAGAAAAAACTGTCCTAAAATTCATTTGTGAGAATAAGAGACATAGAATAGATTGAGCAATTCTGAGGAAGAAATGTGATACATGAGACATGACAATACCTGATCTCAAATTATACTATAGACCTACAGTAAAAACAAACAGTCTAGTACTGACATGAAAGTAGAAACGAAGACCAGTGGAATAAAATATTCAACACAGAGACCAACTCACATACATACAGCCATCTGACACTTGACAAAGGTGCCAAAAAATATATGCTGGAGAAAAGACAGCCTTTTAAACAATGATGCTAGAAAAACTGCATATCCATATGTAGAAGAATGAAACCAGATCCCTATCTCTCACCCTGCCCAAAAGTCAAATCAAAAGGGATCAATCACTTAGGAATTAGACTATAAATTTTGTAACTGCTAGAAGAATACCTAAGGTCAACATTCCATTATATTGGTGCAGGCACTCTCAAAACTCAAGAAATAAAACCAAGAATTAATAAGTTGGATGCCATCAAATTAAAAACTTCTGCACAGCAAAGAAAATGATTAAGACCATAAGGAGAGAGTCAACAGAATGGAAGAAAATCTTTGCCAGATGCTTCTCTGACAGGGTATTAATATCCAGAATATATAAGGAACTCCAAAAACTTAACACCAAAAAAAAAAATCAGTAAATGGACAAAAGAACTAAATAAATCTTTCTCAAAAGAAGAAACACAAATGACCAACAAATAAATAAGAAATATTCAACATCTCTAGCAATCAGGTAAATACCTATCAAAACCACACTAAGATTTCATGTCACTGTGGTGAATGACAATGATCAACTAGGAATAGTAACAATAAATGCTGGCAAAGATGTGGGACAAAAGGTTTGCTCATACATTGTTGGTGTGACTGCAAATTAGTGCAATCGTTCAGTAAAGCAGTATGAAGATTCCACAAAAATGTAGGAATAGAACCATCATAGGTTCTGCAATTTTTGGTGTGTGTGTGTGTGTATTCTCACTGTGTGGGTAGATTTGAAAAATATATACTGTTTCTATTGATTGTAGTGGTAATATTTGTACAATAGAAATCAGCAAATATGTACTACAAACTGGGGCCTTTTGTATTTGGGGAGGAGTGGTGGGTTCTGGCCAGCATTTTTTTTACTCATTCACCAACATACCACTGGACATTGAACTGAGGCATTGCTGGAGATCTTATTTCTTTCCTTTTCTCCTTGAAGTCTGAGTTTCCAAGGAATTTCATACAATTTTAGCAATAGGTGAGTAAAAGAACACATGAACATGCTGTAAGCTCTTGTCTTCTTTTGCCCCTCTGGTTTCAGGCTAAAGGAGATCCAAATGAGTGAATATGATGCTGCAACCTATGAAAGATTTTCAGGTGCTGTTCGGCGACAGGTGCAGTCCCTCTGAATCATCTTGGATAATTTACAGGTAATCTTCCATTTGTGGATCAAGAAATAACTTGGGCCCAAATCTGGACACTTCCCCAAACTGTCATAGATGGTTAGCTGAACTCTAATCAGCCAATCAGAAAAAAATTAATCAGTGCCAAAGTGTCTATATTAAACTATGGTTTCACCACCATGCCTTAGCTGAGCAAAACACACCTAGTTAAGTGTTCCAAAGGAAAATATATTACCTTACCTTTCTTCCTATCCAAGAAGCAGTAAAATTACCAGTAACTCTAGCAGACACTAAACTTTCTCATTCCCCTCATGTAAGATCTTAGGGCATCTCACCTTTACTGGAAATTCACAAATATAAGTCATTTTATTCTGAAGAAACAGAGAAACATTCTGGATTATCCAGGTGACTATTCACTATCCCCTGCACCCCCTCTTACTGCTTTGTACTTGCCCCTGCACTGCCTGGATCTTTTCAGTTTCACAAAACTCTTGAGTCAGTTGATACTGCTATTGCTCCTAAAAATATTAAAATGTCAATATTTCCTAAGCAGAGATGTTATTTCTGGTCAGTTTGCACAAGTAATTAAGGAAGGGTTGAATTCATACAAGTTTTCTTTTGCTTAATGCATCATTGAGCACTCACAAGTGTTTGAAGACTGAAACCAGCTGGTGAAGCAGTACTCTAGAAAGAAGAGACCTCTGAGTAGGGGACAGACTCGAGTACCAGGCTGCTTGGAAAATGGCAAATAGTATCTACAGTGACTAGTGTTCAGAGTTTGGGGATGTGCTTGGGGGTAGAAACTAGTGGAAGAGAAAGCTTAGAGAACAGGAATCCTAAAAGGTTGTGAGCACCATGCAGAGGCTGATATGTCTGTAACCAGGGAAGAGCCATGAAGATGCATGAGCAAAGGAGTGGCATGGTCTGTCTTCATCAGGAAGTGGCATGGCCAAGAAGGGAGAAGGTTGCAGAGATGGAGGTGAAAGCCAGAAATCAAATCATAAAATCATTTCAGTTGTTTAGGAGAGAAGTGATAGGAAGTCAAAACAGGGGCAAATGAAGTGAAAATGGAAAAGTTGTGACAAATTCAAAAATCATGTTAGTGGCTGGAAAAGAAGACAGTGACTAACTGTGGCGGAGGGGAGTGGTGAATGGAGCAGAGAACTTTCTAACCCTAGAGGACAGACCTAGAGAACACAGGAAGAGGGAAGCCTTGATTAAAGAAAGCACATGTTTACTTTGGATGTTAGTATGTTTTCTCACTACTAGCACACCTATGCTGAAGTGTCAAACATGATATTTGAAGTTTTTAATATGTGAACCATAATGGGATGGGGGAAGTGGAGGAACTTTTGATGCGGCAAAGGGGAGGGCAAGGGGGGCTAAGGGGATAGGAAAGATGGTAGAATGAGATGGACAACATTACCCTAGGTACATGTATGATCACACAAATGATGCATCTCTACATCATGTACAACCAGAGAATTGAATTGCATTCTGCTGTCATGTACAACTAAGTAGAACAAATCAAAACAAGAAAAAAAAAAATCATTCTTGCTAAAAATATATGTGAAGAACTATGAATTTAATAATAAACAGTGCCTAAATTTCCATGTTATTTTAAAATTTAAAATTTAAATTAAATAAATAGGATTTTAAAATTTAGATAAAAATCAAGAATACTTTCAGTTAATTCTGTTGGTTTTGGTTAATTAAGTTGGTATAATGAGGACTAGAAGTAAAAAGTGTGATACTTCATGTTACATATGGAAAAAGTGAATTTTTTTTTCATTCTTTAAAATGATTACAAAAATATAAATTTAATCTGACTTTTTAAGCACAATCATGTCAGCAGTTTTTCTAGCTGAAGTTTCTTGCAAATTGCAACATGTTATATAAAATTGCTCTGATTGCTGTGTGGCGAGGGGTCTGCACGAGGACAAAGGTGGGAGTAGGGAGGCCAGAGGGAGGCTGTGTGGTGGTACAAATGGGAATTAATGCTGCACGTGAGGGATAGACATGCAAATGGCAGAGAAGGTCAGATACTGCCAGGAATTGAAAGGATTTACCAGTGGATTTCGTGGGTGAAACAGGACTCATGATGTCTCCTAGATATATGGCCTGAAGAGCTGAAAATAGTGGGTTGCCCTTTGCCTTTTGCTGAGGTGGATTCTGGGGTTTCGAACTTGTTAAGTTTAAGATGCCTATTATAGATGCACACCCATAGGTATGGTTCTCAGATCTTTTGAGCATTTTTAGTTCTTGAAGAAAAAGCACTGAAGTTGTTTTTCTTCATAAAAACAGAATGTAAAATGACAGTAATTTGTCATCCAAAGTAATGATTTAGAACCACATTTGTGTCCAAGGGTACACATTCTTATAATTAGAATCACCTTTGTTAATACGTGAATCTCTATTTTCCCTCACAATGAGGTGTTACTTTAAGAAAAAAAAAAGGAATTCCTTGGAATAAGAAGATAAATATTTTTCCCTTCTTTGCAATATTCTTTCATTATTTAGATATTTTTAACTGTTATGCCAAAATATGTAAAACCAGAAAGTAAAATTTATTTCTACCAATTAATAATTTGTTATTTTATGGACAATATACAAAAAGTTCTTTAATATAGCAAATATTTGTGTCCAAATGGTTGGCTAAACATGGGGAATAGTAAAAATAATGGGAGCTAATATTAATGAGAGAATCACTCTTCCTAGCTATCCTCAAACATTCATTTACAGTTACCTATTCACCCAACAATAGTTATGGATGATCTTCTCCATACTTTGTTCTATATAGAATGCTTATGCTTTCTACCAATCTATTCTGAAAAAAAATAATAGAAAACTGTCATAATTGTAGAGTTTATAGATGAAGGAAGTCTTGCTTAACCAGAACCCAAATAAGTGAAAACTTCAGATTAATCAGAATGTTTTCAGTGCTGAAATCACAGGCAGTATCACAAACCACAAAAATAACTGGTTTTGGTCAATTTTATTCATTTAATGTCCTCCATGCTACAAATGTGTGTGTATACTTTCTAGCTAACCAAGAGTTCCCAGAAAATAAATTAACCAGAATACATCATTCTCTGAGTATTTCAGTTAGTCAGAGTGTTCTGTATGTGAAAGTAATAAAACTATATTTCTTTTTTAGAAGAACCAAAAGTTAGACTTTTCATATAATGTAATGTAGTCACACAATCTAATTTAATAATGAGTTCTTGTTAGTGTGAATTTAAAATATAATACAAGGGGCTGGGGATGTGGTTGAAGTGGTAAGATGCTCGCCTAGCATGTGTGAGGCACTGGGTTCGATTCTCAGCACCACATAAAAACAAAATAAAGATATTGTGTCCACCTAGAACTAAAAAATAAATATTTTTTAAAAATAAATAAATAAAATTAACACAAAACAAATGGACATTTTTACAAAGAAACTTTGCTTTATTCACTAGGACTATATAATAAAAAAATGTATGACTCCTGTTGTAAGTAAAAGTATGTATTTAAATTCAGTGTGATCTAAAAAGAACAAATTAAAAATACTAAAAACTAAATAGAGTGTGTATTTAGTATTTCTGGAAGTATTTCAGTGAATACAATAAAATACAGAAGACTTTGCAAACACATTGAAAATAATGAATATTTCTTTTTAAAAAATGATTATCTTTTTTCAGTGTTAAGGATCCAACCCAGTGCCTCACACATGTTAGGCAAGTGCTCTGCCACTGAGCCACAGCCCCCAGCTCTGAAAATAATAAATATTTCTATTCAGACGTCAACAACTTTTTAAAGAACTCCCCCTCCAGCCCATGGTCCCCAAAGGCATCGATTCTGACAGGCTTTTTCCTGTTCTGAGTTTCCAAGTATTGGTGGATGGGCTAGAGGATAAAAAATAAATTTTTCCCCTAATTTATCTGCAAATTATAAACCTGAGAACTATAGAACAGTGCTACTGTTAGAAAAATATTTTTGTGCCCAGAAGACTGAGACATGCTTTCACTTCTCAAAAACAAAAGCTACTGATTCATGATCCTTTGACAAGCATGACCCAAAGTAATTCATTTGCTGCAAATAAATATTAAAATAAAGGGAGTTTAAAGCATACCAACCAGGATAGCTAAAAAAAATTAAAACTATTAATATCAATGTTGGCGAGAATATGCAAAAGCAACCCTCATACACTGCTCATGCTAATGTTAATTAGACAAACCATCTTAGAAAACTGAGTAGCAATATCTACTAAAGTTGAATATATCCAGTCTTGTGACTCAGAGCTTTCCCACAACAGAAATGCACATGTATCTTCTCTAGAAAACCCATTCAAGAACATTTATGGTTGCATTATTCAAAATAGTCCAAAAATGAATACAGCAGGATTATAGATGGAATTATAAATATAATAAATTGTGCAAGTCATATAATGTAATAATGTTAAACCTGTGAGAGAGAATATAGTACCGCAAGATACAACATAGCTAACCCCATGGGATATTGTTGAGCCAAAGAAACCAGAGACAAGAGTGTATGTTCTTTGACTCCATTTTTTTAAGAGAGAGAGAAAATTTTTTAATATTTATTTTTTAGTTTTCAGTGGACACAACATCTTTATTTTTATGTGGTGCTGAGGATGGAACCCAGTGCCATGCGCATGCCAGGCGAGCGCGCTACCACTTGAGCCACATCCCCAGCCCTTGACTCCATTTTTATAAAGTTCAAAATCAGACAAACCTATTCAATGCTATTAGAGATCAGAATAAGTGTTACCTTTGCAAAGAGTAAAATCCAGGACAGGGCCCTGGGAGACTTCAGAGGTATAGGTAGTTAAATGGTGTTTTCACAGCACAACAGTTCGTTAAGATCTGCACTTATGATTTCTGTACTTTATTATAAGCATATCATACAGGAAATTGACCAAAGAAAAAGAGGAAGAGGAAGGTGCAGGGCGGGAGGGAGGAAGGAAGGGCAAGAAAAGGTAGCAGACTACTGGAAAAAGCATATTTCTCCCCTTCATTCGTGCTGCAAAAATATCATATTCTAAGAGTAAAATATTTTCAATTCAGTAACCCCTTTACCAAGGAAAGTAATAGGAACATGTGCCCTAAACAAAAGTCCCTTCTGTAATTTTTACAAAGTATTATTAACATGAATATTAAAAGAAGAATTCCACGGTGCTGTTGAACTATTACATAAACTCCACCGGGTGATGGCTCTGTTTCTCTTCATCACTCTGCCATTTCCCCTCAGCATCCCAGCTCCATGTCACCTATAATTCCCTTCTTGAGCTGTGAATCTATTATTGCAACTTCTGGACCCTATAATGCTGGTTAGGAATTGAAATCACTAAGTCAAGACTTCACAAAGCTCACACAGGAGTTAACATTTGTTCACTTTGTGGTCTAGAAGACCTGCCTCATAATAAATTAACCTTGAATACCAAGGACTAGAGCTGACCAGTAGGATTTCTTTCTCACAAATATACTAAAGAAAATCGAATAAAAACTTAAATTCCCTCGGATGAGTTAGTCACATACAAGAATGTCTAAAATAACAAACTACTTCAGATCACTGTATTACAGTGGGATCTTTATAAATAGATTTGCTAGTTCATTTTTTTAGGACTGAATAGTATTCTATTGTCTGGATGTACCAACAATTTAATTCATCCATTACCTATCGAAAAACACTTTAGTTGCTTCCAAATTTTGGCAGTTATACATAAAATTTCCATGAATATCACAGCAGAGTTTTATGTAGACAGAAGTTTTCAACTCATTTGTGTAAATAGTAAGGCATGCAATTGGTGGATGGTGCAGTAAGAATATTTTAGTTTCAGAAGAAGCGGCCAAGCTGTCTTCCCATGTAGAAACACCATTTTTCATTCCCATGCACAGTGAGAGACTCTGCATCCTTAACAACATTTGTTGTCAGAGTTTTGGGTTCTGATCGTTCTAATACGTTTGGAGTGATGTCTCATAGTTGTTTTATTTTGATGTTACATATGTTACATCTATTAACATATGTTTAAGATATTTTCATACGATTATTTACCATCAATCTGTTTTTGTTTTGGCAGGTATTAGGGATTGGACCCAGGAGAGATGAACCTAAGCCATATTGCCAGCCCTTTTTAAATATTTTTTATTTTGAGACAGGTTCTCACTAAGTTGCTTAGAGCTTTGCAAAATTGTTGAGGCTGGCTTTAAACTCATGATCCTCCTATTTCAGCCTCCCAAGCCGCTGGATTACAGGCATGTGCTCACCACGGCCAGCCAATGTGACTATTTTAATGAAGTGCCTTCTCAAGTCTTTTACCCATTTTTAAAACTTTTTCTTTACTGTTGAGTTTTAACAGTTTTTTAGATACTAATCCTTTATTAAAATTACCATATTTAATGTAGATGTATTAATGTAAATAAATGGAAACCCCTAGGTCACCAGCATAAGATTTTAATTTTGATGGGCAGGTCCTGGAACCACTGTACCAGGTAAATATTAGAAGTGTATCTTTCCCAGATGTATATTCTTCATAAGAACCCCGTGATCTCACATGGAAATGGGGCATATTGGAGCAAAGCTGCTGTCATATAAAACTTGATACAGAGTTATAGGTGGTAGAAGGAGCGAGTAAACACAGACTTCCAGAATACTTTCCACATTTCAATAATCAGACAAGACAACCTTGATCGCACAGTGCCATCCTCCCCCGTACCAAAAATTGGGACTTAACTCCTGTCTCCTCTTTTTTGTCATTTCTGGAATCAGGAGTGGGTAATCCCTCAGACTGCCAGGATAATTTATGCTTGGAAACAACACCATGGATGACCATTTAGGTACCTTTCAATGTGACATTCTAATACTCTTGGAGGTACCAAGCTGCAGAGCTCAGTCTTCTAATGCCTCTCATAGATGAAGACAGACTCTCACAGGATTGTCAAATGGAAAAATAAGCAGTTAAGAAAGTAAAAGAAAACATGGTCACAATGGTCAGCCACCATCGAAATGGCATGGAAGTTAATTTTTGAGCTGGGTTTAAGAGCAATACAGAATTAGTATCAGAATAAAATTATATAACATGTTTGGTAACACATGTGCCATTGTTATCATCAAACATTGGTTTTCTAAGTTTCATAAATAATTTTGACAAGGCAATGCCCTGATCATGCCCTTCCCAGTCCTCCTGGCTGCTACATGCTTTTATTAACCAGTGATGGTTTCACTGTTGTAAAGGCTACCCAGTAAGTAATTTTTGTGATTTTTAAATGCAGATCATAATTGTTATAAAATTAAATTTAAACCCCATCATTTTGCCATGGAGGAATTATAAAATGCTGAAATTCTAACTATAAGTCCAGTCTCCTCTCATATTTTGGTGTTTGTAGAAATGAAATACATCCTATAATCTTGTTTACATGCATTAAAACATTTTAACTATTCTTCCCCCTTCTATGGTAATTATACTCATGGATTGCAATAAACACATGCCTTTATTGGGATATTACAGTTCTTTATCATTTAACTATCACCTGATCTAGTTGTGTTTTGGCAAAATGTTATGTGAAAATACCTTAGAAAAATAATTCAGAAAATTTCAGAATATAGAAAATCAGAGACATGTGGGGTACAAAATGTTCAGATACTGTTGTTTCCAGCTATTTCCATGTACACAATAAGACACGGAGAATTTGAGTAGCAAATTTCTTTCCGAAAGGAAGACTTCTGAAGATCACATTCTCTCTGGGATTTCTGACAATGTCAACAAGTTCAAGCTGATTATTTAGGTACCTAATAAATTTTCTAGAAGAACAGAGACAGAAAACCCATAGGAAATGTATCATCATTACCTTTCCAGATATAGAACTTTCTTAAGGGGGTCATTTTCATACTGTCTTCCTGTCCATATGCCCTTCAAGTGTTCCATATGTTAAAACAATTAAAACTAACAAAATACACATAAATTGCATTTCTTTGTCAGCAGAACAGAAACCAGTTCATTTCTGCAGTTGTGTTTATGCAGAACCATCACGTATTGAAAAGTTCCCTGGTGTGTTTCCTGTTATTCATGCAGAAAGTTTGTCAAAGATCCTGCAGAACTCGTTAAAAATAAAGACTTATGTGTATGTGTTTGTGTGTCCTAGGCTAAAGGTAAAGAAAGGCAGTGGCTAAAACACCAAGCTACTGGAGAACTAGATGATGCCAAGATCATTGATGGGCTGACTGGAGAGAAAACCATCTACAAACGTCGGGGTGAGCTGGAGCCACAAGTAAGTAGTGGAGGACTGGTAGCATCAGACTTGCTTAGTTTGGCCTTGTTTCTAGAAACTCACTTTCTTGAGGTGTGTGTCAAAACATCATAAACCCTGGTGCATTATACTAAAAAAAAAAAAAAAGATAATGATGAAGAAAAAAACAAAAATATTATACTATTTATTGTACATGTTAAGGTCTCAGCAAGAAACACAAGGCACACTCAGACTGGGTAATTTAAGTAGCAGTGAATACAGTAGAATTTAGAGCATATTTACAAAGATAAGGGTGGATTTAGGAAAGCCAAAAGATTCACTGTGATAACCCAGGCTGACATCAGCGGGGATCTGACTCTGCCCTGAAGTCTAACACACAGAGCAGAAGAGCAGTTCTGGAATCTGGAGAAAGTAGTTCATGAAGCTGTGGCCTTTGGTAGAGGTAGAGCCCACCCCTGGGCAACAGCAGAGAAAAAGCTGAGGTAACAACGCCCCCAGCCTCTCACTCTGATCTGACAGTGCCTCCCATTGGCAGAAAACTCTGGAAGCCAGTAGCCAAGAGAGCTGCCCATTGGCCCATCCCACTCCTGGGACACAGAGCAGTTGCCCTGGAAGGGAAACTGAGGGTACCCTGTTGTCTCTGAATCCTAGAGTATTCCTCAAGTGAGAGCAATAGAGCCATCTTGGTGGTTTTCTACTATTCTGTACCTTTAAAGATCTGTGTCCATCATGGGATTTAAGAAAATTTTAGGAAATAAGGAATTCTCCTTTAACTCTCATTGTGTTAAGTCAAGTTTCAGTTAGCTATAGTTTTGAAAACTTTGTCATATAATGGCAACAGAGTGAAATATGAGTCTCTTGATTTCCTATATCCTACATAACCAGAATTGCCAAGTTCCCACTGAGAGCTGGGGGAGCAGGGCCTGGAGAGAGCAGGGAGAGTCCATCTACTTAAATGTGTTCTCAGAGAGGATCTGGTGGTGATTTGGGGAGTTCTTATTTCTGTGTCACTGGGATGAGTCAACAACTGTGTTCTTTACTGACTCATTGTGGTCAACAAATGTGGTTGGATATATATGATTTTGTGAGCAGTCATGAAAGCCTGTGTGGCACTATTGTTCATTTGGACACACTCAAAAGTTTTGAAGAAATAGATTGAATTGGCTCCAAACCATTATCCTCTAATACCCAGAGCATGTTTTGAAATTTCTGGCTCTGCCGTTAGTGTTTATGCATGTCAGAAAGTTTACAATAACAAAATAACCTGGAATTTTTCTTCCTTCCTTCCTTCCTTCCTTCCTTCCTTCCTTCCTTCCTTCCTTCCTTCCTTCCTTCCTTCCTTCCTCCCTCCCTCCCTTCCTTCCTTTCTTTCTTTCTTTCCTTCTTTTTTTTTTAGTAAAACTGACAAGATTTTTCAAAATTCTGCACATTGGCAGATAGGAGTCCAAAATCAAACTGAATCTCTCAAGTTTCACATTTAATTGATAGTTGCTTCTATACATCAGCTTAATGATGTTTTCATGCTTTAAACTGCCAAGAAAAGAAAAGGAAAAAAGCACTAGTTCACTAACTCCAAGGAAATTTGAAAGCTTGCTAAGGACAAAAACCATTTAAAAAATATTTTCCTTAGATTATTTGCCAGACTCCCTCTCCCATAACCTTGTTTTAAAAATCTAGTATTTCTTGCAACCTACATGGGAAATGGTTTTCAACTGACTGCATAACAGATACAAATAAAATTGATGTTGGCTTCCCTCCAAAATAACAGACTCTTGCTAGAATTACTGACTTCCAGGCATGGAGAGAAAATGACATGTTAGAATTTGTATCTTTCCAAATTATTTTAAGGCACCAGTCTCCAAAAGGCAACTTTACTAGACTAGATTGGGCCTTGCAAGGGCTCTCTTCCAAAGGAAAATCTTTTTCATATGATCCTAACTACCTTATGCAATTTCAGTTACTGAAATTCAATCTACAGGCATCTTTCACCAGCCTGATCAACCTTTTACAGGGTCAAGTCTGCAGCTGATCTGCCCACCTCATGACTAGCACTCTGGTGCCTGTGTGAGCTCCTCAGGACTGCAGCCATTGATGACATTGTAGTTCACAAGCTCTTTCTGTCATTCCCTCCCTCAGCTGGGGAGCCCACAAGAGAAACCCAAGCGTCTGCGCCTGGTGGTAGATGTGTCTGGCAGCATGTATCGCTTCAATGGAGTGGATGGCCGGCTTGAGCGCTCAATGGAGGCCGTGTGTATGGTCATGGAAGCTTTCGAGAACTATGAGGAGAAATTCAAGGTAATGGCATGATCTAAGGATGATAAGAGTCATCCTTGACCACATCTGCACAGAGTGAGCCCTGAGTTATGGCATGATGATGATAGGTGCTTGGAGACTTTATTCCCAGGCAGACAGAAATCTCCATTCTCTTACCAGCTCATTTGGCTCATTTGCCAGGGCAAAAGTGAGACATTTGCTTCATCTGCTCTGATAATATCATAATTTAAAGGACTGATTCCTTCTGATTACTACTGAAGAAACTCCACCATTGTGTGACATTAACCATAAGGTTTAAAAAAAAGGAACAGCCACTTAGAAGCACCGGAGTCTGTTGCCCTTGTAACACCCATACCCACACACCGTTTCCCAATCACCAGACAGACAGCCTTCCAAGGTTTGAGCTCACTCTCAGAGTGTGGTGTTCTCAGCATCACTGTCCCTTTGCACATGGGCAATGATTCTACAGAAATGAATGTCTCCCCAGCTGACAATGAAGATGACCACCCTGGCAGAAAAGCATCCTCCCATTTAAGCTATTTCTATTTTGTTCTTGCAGAGTTTGATGCACACCCTCCATTTCAGAGGTTTGAGAGTAGAGACTAGATTTCCCCATACTGCTGTGTTATCCCCTGACAGAAGCCTACTGTCTGCTCTTAATCAACCACAGAGAGCACCTACTCCTCTGGCCCTTTCAGAGCAAATAACCTTTTGTTACCATGGTTATCACATGCCATGCAATTATTATTAAAAGTTCAGTGGAGTGAAATGGTATATGTGTAGACATGTAAAGGACACAGAGTCTATTCATGGATACTGTAGACCTTATTCTGAGTCATACATTTCCTGAGAAACAAGTAGTATTAGTTCATTCATTGTTTAGCTTGACATCCCACCAGCACCTCTGGTTGCTACCTGGGTCATGGCTCTGTGTTATGCCTCATACAGCAAGAAACAGGTCATTTACTTTGGGCTTATTATTAAGTGGACTACCCATTGAATCTCCCAGGGTCCCTTATATGAATTAAGTTCTGCAAGAGAAATTCATTTTAGGATTGACTGCTGGGGAAAGGGCAGCTTTAGACAGTGAATGCTGTGGGTTACTAGACTTTGCACAAGTACAGGATACTAATACAAATATACATGGACTTTTACCATGAGGAGTAGTTATGTTTCCCTTGAAGAACTAGAATGGGTATCCCCTTGTGAGTATTGAAAACCATGGAACTATTCAAGATTCTCACTTTGTCCTAGTTGCCAGGAAGCTTGGTGCCCAAATCAAAGACCCACTATGACAATTTTATTTTGTCTTATGTCTTAAATACTTATATTTAGCTTTTTATTTCCCTTGACCCTCCCTCACCTCAGATGTAAGTTTGTCTTCATTTTTTTAAAAAAAAAATTATTATTTTTTCATGTTTTGTGGATCAAAGGAAAATATTAAAAAATTTTATTTAAAAGTATTTCAGATCCTTTCTAGTATATAGTAGAGTTTGATTTCCTATATCACTTGAACCACAGGTGACCAGTGGATTTCTAAAAATCCATCTTAGTAGCATAAATACCTGTATCACACCTAATGTTTAAAAACCTCTGGATTTTAACTTGACCCAGAATCCCTACTATTTCCAGAGCTTCTTATAGACCTTCCCTACACATTGTCACATTGGAGTCTTTTTGCTATCTTTCTACCATCTCCAACACATATCTGAGATTCTAGTGGCCACAGGCCACTCAGTCTCTGCTAAGCCTCCTGTGGCCTCCTTTGTAGAGGAGAAGAAAGAGATGGGTTGGAACTACTATATTCTGTGAGAGCTTTATATAATTAAATGTTTAGGGATTTAAGTAAGGGGTACACGTAGTATAAAATGTAAAAGGAACAAAAGGAGATAAGAGTGAAGAATAAATCTCTGTCCACCCCTCTCAGTTCTGAAATTCCTTGTTTAATGATGACCACTATTAGTGGGTTTTTGGTCACTTTTCAGAGATATTCAGTGGTATACATCACATGGTTCCATTCCATGCCCTGTGGTTTGTATGGTTATGTTGATCATATTCAAATCATTTAATCTCTCTGTACTTCCATTTTCTCATTTGCAAAGAGATATAAGAACTAGGAAGGACTAATTTACTTAGAAAACATAAAAAATGTATGAACCAATGATTACTTGAGGAGCTCCTAGTGAAAATTTTGTATTCTTCAGACCAGAATTGCATCAAATGTCTTATCTTTAGGAATTCAGATTTGTGATCTGAGATTCCCCATCCCCAGTTCCAGATGGTTCTTAATGTCTTCCCAAATTTATCCTTCAGCAGTAAAGTATATTTGCTTTGAAACCTTCAGAAGCCTCTGGTCTGGTGTGGTGGTCTAGAGTCTTCCTGTCTCTCTTGGCACTTGCTGTTTTCTGTGTAGTAGTCTCAGCCATCTGAGCTGTAGCTCATTACTATCAAACTTCAGTGGCCTTGTTTAGAGTCTCTCTCCATGTTTTACTCCCCCACATTAGCATGACACATGCCAAACCACAGTGAGCCTAGAGCCAAAATTACTGAGTAGGAAAGGTAATTGGTAATTCAGTGGCAGGACACATTTCCAAAGCATTCAGAGTTTTAAAGTTTTTCATAAGTGTTCTACCAACTGAATTTGATTATTCCCAGGCATAGTGTTCACAGTAGGTCATCTAAGACAAGAGCAACATTATTTGCTTATAATGAGCATAATTTTTAACATTCCTAGAAAACTTAGAGACTATAGTGAAAGGTAGAATAGTAATGCTTATATGAACCATTTTATTTTAGTCACGTTAATTCTTTTTCTTTTATCTTCATTTTTAATTGGTTCCTCATGATTTCACCCCGTCTGCTCCATCTCAGTACAACTAAAAGCATTCCACTTATATTGGTAATACATGATGTTTTTTTAATATTTATTTTTTTAGTTATAGTTGGACACAATACCTTTATTTATTTATTTTTATGTGGTGCTGAGGATTGAACCCAGGGCCTCGCACGTGCCTAGGCGAGCACTCTATTGCTGAGCCATAACCCCAGCCCCATGATGTTTGATAAAGTGGACTTTTCTGAAATACGTCATTTGAAGAAAGGACTTTACTGCTTAAAAAAAATATTAAAGGTCAGAGGTGTTAGAAAACCACTATTCCAGGACCAATGCTGGATTATAGCTTCTGAGGGCTTTCTTTTTGGAAGATATGTCATAGATCCTTAGTTCAGTTAGATGATTCACTCCTTCTTTGATAGGTGAAAACAAGGCCTACCTGTTCTTAAAACTAAGAGGAGCCAGCTTTTCATTCCATTTCTTGGGTATACTATTGAATATAGAACCTTGAGGGCAGGAATGACCTTGGAAATTATCTTCATCAACCTCACTTTTACAGATGAGAAAACTAAGATTCAAAAAGGTTGAGTGCTTTGCCCAGTGTCATAGCTGGACCATGAAAAGCCAGGACTTCTGATGTCACTTCACAGCTTTTAGTTGTTTTCCTTCCTATTATTTGTAGTCATTTTATTTCTGCCCAATCAGTGTTTTTAAAAAATGTAATTCAGGATGTATCCAGGGGATTCAAGTCAGAAAAGCCAAGGGAAAGCTGGGCATGGTAGTCCACTCCTGTAATCTCAGCAACTCAGGAGGCTGAGGCAGGAAGATTGAAAGTTCAAAACCAGCCTCCACAATTTAGCAAGGCTCTAAGCAACTTAGCGGTATTCTGTATCAAAATAAGAAGTAAAGGGGGATGGGGATGTGGCTCAGTGGTTAAGTACCCCTAGGTTCAATCCCTGATAACAAAAACTTAAAAATAAAAAAGGAAAGTGAAGGAGACCCAACTTGTTTCTGTCTTTGATTCTGGTGGCTCACATGACCAGCTGAAGCAGGTCCAGAATCTGAATAGCTTGGATGTGAATACACTTAGGGACTAAGTCAGGGGAGCCTGGAATGGCTGTGTTTGTGGGCATCAGAGGAAGTGAAGAATTGGTTTCTTTCCCCCAGCTGAACTGTTAGAAGGTTCCTGAGATCCAGACTCTCAACAGAGATCCACACTGCCAAGTCCTAGTGGTATGTTCATCTAATCTCTCCAGAGCAGACACTACCCAACAAAACCCCTGAGGCCTAAATAGACCTAGTCCTACCCACTGGAGCACCACACATTGAACTGTGCAGCAACCCCACCCTGAAAGTACATAAACTTGGCCTGTGCAGACAAAACTCCAACACATAGCACTTCCCATTTCATCCTACCTCATACTGTGGAGAAGAAAAACTCTGATGCTGACTAAACTCAACCAAAAGAAAGTGCACTTTGCTCTTAATGATAATCTTTTCATTAAATTTATTTATTTATTCTAATTTGTTATACAAGACAGCAGAATGCATTTCAATTCGTAGTACACAAATGGAGCACTATTTTTCATTTCTGTGGTTGTACACAAAGTACACCATTCGTGCCTTCATACATGTACTTAGGGTAATGATGTCCATCTCATTCCACTGTCTTTCCTACCCCCATGCCCCAACCCCTTCACTCCCTCCCCTTTTGCCCTATCCAAAGTTCCTCGATTCCTCCCATGCTACCCTCAACACCCCCATTATGAATCAGCATCTACTTATCAAAGAAAACATTCAGCCTTTGTTTTTTGGGGATTGGTTTACTTCACTTAGCATGATATTCTCCAACTCTATCTATTTACCTGCAAATGCCATGATTTTATTCTCTTTTAGTGCTGAGTAGTATTCCATTGTGTATATGTACCACAATTTCTTTATCCATTCATTTATTGAAGGGCATCTAGGTTGGTTCCACAATTTAGGTATTGTGAAATTGTGCTGCTATAAACATTGATGTGGCTGTGTCACTGTAGTACGCTGATTTTAAGTCCTTTGGGAATAAACCAAGGAGTGGGATGGCTGGGTCAAATGGTGGTCCCATTCCAAGTTTTCTAAGGAATCTCCATACTACTTTCCAGATTGGTTGCATCAATTTGCAGTCCCACCAGCAGTGTCTAAGTGTGCC